TCTATTCGAGATACGAAAATACATTGACAGTTTCTCGCTTCACTATCTTAGTGTAGAACATTCAAGAATTCCCAAAAGTCCAGCTAATCTTTATAAATCTCTCATACTTTAAACTCATTTAATGAACAAAACATCATCAGAAGTGCAGTTTTACCAAAGAAATAACTATCAACCATCTATGGAGATAATAATTCAGTGAATGGATATTCGGATAGTAAAGATTCTTGATTTGTATAACCATTTAGTTCACAGAAGACAGATAGACCAAATGAAGATTAATGAAGTAAGTGATTTCTATTTGAATTCTGTTGATTCTCTAACTAATCTTAATTCTATAGATAATTCTGAACTTCAGATAGATGAAGAAATTGAAAATCAGAATGCTGAACAGCTGAGATTCAACAGAATTGCAAATCAATCAAAATTACATTACAGATATATAGACAGACAATCAATGTGTAGCGTGTGTAGTGAATAACTGATACGTTTACTGCACAATGAAATATTATATCAGAATGGTTTTTCTGGATATTATAGTTAATTCCAATGGTTGAGATCATGAGTCAATTAAAACTAGACCACCATGGATCATGGATGAGTACCGCTGAGGACTCTCACACCAGGATGAAACGGCCGTCCAGTGCTTCCACGTTTTCCATGGCGGTCTAGCTTCAATTGACTTGTAGCGGTAAATGAATCCCCAAAATAAATAGCTCTGTAAGTTTTCGACATTGGATGCTGATCACATTAGTTTTAATAGACTCACCTGGCTGAAAGCACTCGGTCATGCATCCGCACAAGGTCACAAGTGGGGACGCCGTGCTCAACATCCCCTGCAATTGCTAGCGTGATTAGATCAGACGATCCTCGATTTATTGATAGCCTATCAAATATATCTTCGAACCTCCTGGCTTCTGTCTTTTGATTTCACTTGGTGGGTACGATTCATATAAGAAGGTGTTACTGGTTAAAGTGCTGTCAAACTCCAAGCACCTGTGGTATCTTCAGACTCATGATCTCAACCATTGAAATTAATATTAAATGTTATGTTCAAACTTTTTATTAAATAACAAAGATTAGTTCATCGTAGAGTTCTCTTTTCGACGAATTTATTTTCAAAGGTATACAATCGCAAATATATTCACTTGGTATAGTTTATTTGAATCTTCCCATTGATGTTTAGGAATGTAATTGATCAGTCTCGCATTGGCATACGTGCATACTGTGCGTATTGCCTTGATATAGCCTTAACTTACAAGCATTATAAGCAAAAATGGATAGTAGCTAGCAGTGGAATCCAGGATGCACGTGTCCCTGAGTGAACATCAACGAGTCTGAGATGCAGGTACACCCAGCTGACGAGTCACAAATGGGACGAAACGTGCGTCAAACTGGATTCCACTGCTAACCACTATCCATCTTTGCATATATATATATATATATATATATATATATATATATATATATATATATATATATATATATATATATATATATATATATATATATATATATATATGCTAATGTTTTTTTCTCTCAGGATTATAATAATAATGATAATAAACTCCCGTTAGACATGGCGACAATGAGGTAAAATAAACAAAGGTATCAAAAAATAGTTTTTAAACAAGGAAAGTTTAATAATCATGGATGCGCACTGCTAAAGAGTCCCATACTAGGAAGAAACGGCCGTCCAGTGCTTCCAGGTTTCCCATGGTGGTCTAGCTTCAATCGACTCATGATTTCAACCTGTGATTGTTAATGGCTTAAATATCCATCAAAAAATGGATAGGGAAATTATCATTGGGAAAGGATGGCTTATCATGATAAGATAAAATGTAATGAGGATGATTGTAGAAACAGAAATAAACCAGTTGGGGTAGAAGATTTAAGGGAAAGATGGAAGGTGAAGCAGATGGCTGTAAAGGAGGGAGAGTATGAAGGAAGGAAAAATAAAGAAAAATTCTAAGACACTGAGACCATGGTAGAACAAGAGGTTGTACCAATTTCTTTTGCATACACAATTCTGGTATTTCCAGATGTATGGTTATTGGTTCGGCGATGCAAAGAAGATGCAATCTAATTGTCATTGGAAGACTTCTACTTACCTTGTAGATGACTTGGAACGCAGAGTCTAACTTGATTGAGTGACCTGTGTTCACAAGGTGTTCGATTACTGGACTTCTTATTGAACCGTTTCTTCCTCTTCTTAGCCACTCTGGATAATGTTCTTGAATTCTTTTGGATAAATTACGCATCGAACGATTTATATACTTGACTCCACATGGGCAGGTAAATTGATAAATGCACACTGAGTTGGTCAGATGCGATAATTTATCTTTAAGATTATTAGTGAACAATGATCGGCTGGAGAATACTATTCGCAACGTTGCTGCGAAGAATGTTCTTTTTAAAGAATCAGAAATTCTCCTGTTTAAGATGTATGTGGCCCTGTCACCCATAAATGTCGATGTTCATGTATAATGTTTTCTTTTCTGCTGAAATTATTTGTTTTAGGCGGTTTCGGTTTTATGTTTTATAAAGGAATACGGAAAGATATCCGTTTCTGATAAGTATCTCCTTCAAGAGGTCCAGTTCTTCATCTATCACCTCGGGACTACAAATTTTTCATATTTTTGTAGCTAGTGATATTATTAAGTTTCTTTTACGACTAATAGGGACCCAGTTGTGGAAGCTTGATAGTTCACCATTCCACATGGGTTTCCTGTAGATAGATTCTCTTAGAGTTCCATCTTGTTTTCTTGTCACTTTCATATCAAGAAAGTGAATATTTTGTTTCTTTTCAAATTCAAGTATGGATTTCTTTGCTGGGTGACAATTATTAAATGTCTTTAGAAGATTACTCAAGTCATATTTGTTGTCACAAATGATAAAGATGTCATCTACGTACCTTTTGTACAAATGGAAGTTTCCTATAATCGTTTCAAGTTGATTGTTTTCTAAACTGACCATGAAGCAATGGACCAAGAGAGAATCCCATTGCTATGCCATCCTTCTGTCTATGAATTACGTCGTTGAATGTAAATTGTACATTGCAAGTGCAATGTAGTAGTAGTTCCTTTAAATACGTTTTCGGTATTCTGATATTAGTCTCATTATTATTTATGTACTTGCAGATAAAACTAATGGTCTCTATGAGTGGGACATTAGTGAGTAATGATTCGACATCCAGAGATAGCATAATTTTGTTACTTACATTCACTTCTTTTATGTGCTCGATAAATTCAAAATAATCATATAACGAATATCTACAAATGAGTTTTCTAACGGGTTCTAGGAAATTCGCCAGCCACTTCGCTATAGAGTGGTAAGGGGATCCGGACATATTAAGAATTGGTCTGAGAGATAGGTCAGGTTTGTGTACTTTCAGCAGAACATATCATCGCGGTATTATTAATCCTGTTGGTTTTATGCACTCAAAGACATGTTCGTCGATTGACTGATCATTTTTCATTCTCTTAAGAACTTCAATCAGTTACTTTTCTATAATTTCTGTCTTCCTTTTCTCATTGATTGGTTTTGAGAATTTGGTGTCCTCTGATAATAACGTTGTCATTTTCTCAACATAAATCTTGCGGTCTAGCAGCCCTAAACCCGCACCTTTATCTGAACGTGTCATAATTGGGTCTTTATTGTTTCTAAGTAGTTTTAATTGATTTCTATGTTCTTTCATTAGGAAACTTTTACCTACTACTTTTGTGCTAATATACTGATTACAGTTATTGAGAACAGTAGATTCGAAACGTTAGAACTCTTGGTCAGAGACTGGACTAAGACTATTTGTTTGTTTGATAACACAATACAGTTTCATACAGAGTACTTCATATTCAAATTCTAGCTTGCGTCTTGCCAAACCGATACTATCCCTAAATCCTATAATCCCAAAACATGCCTTAACCTGATCGTAAAATATTTTGTGAACGAACTGATGACGTATATATATATTAGTAAGAATGAGTACAGAGAAGATAATGAGACCACCACCTCATGGGCCTGTCCATTGCATACAATTTACTGATTCGCGTTGGTTGTCGTTGACTTTGACACAGATCGATGATCTGTTCGATATTCAGTCACCCAACTGCTAGATGATTTGGCTCACTGACATTTCACTGGCCCTACATAGTGATGAGATTTAAGTGAACGTGGCCATGTATGTTCATGGTTATTTTGAATAATTATTAAAACTGAAGTACTATAGGAAACAAAGAAAGTATTAATTTGAAGATATACTGCAGACGAGTTTCAATTAGTGTGCACCCTCAGTTATAACAGGACTGAAACTATATTCTTACAACGTTACTTATATTCACTAGTGAATCATTGAACAGCAGCCAACATTAGATCATATCGCTGATTAAACTTTCTCCATTAAAGTGTTATTTATACGCAAAAGTTTAACAGAAGGTACAATAAATACTCTATCAGATTATCCATATTCATTTACTTCGTACTAAAAATTTTAAATAAATTCCTATAAATATCATGAAAACAAGAACGAATAATCACAAGCTTTTTAAGCAAAGATGGATAGTAGCAAGCAGTGGAATCCAGGACGCACGTTTCGTCCTATCTGGGATTCGTCGGCTGGATATTCATTCTAGGACTCGAACCCAGTACCAAACTCCAGTAGCTAAGTGGATAACGAGATGTACATCCGGCTGACGAGTCACAAATAGGACGAAGTTTCGTGCGTCCTGGATTCCACTACTAGCCGCTATCCATCTTTGTGTTATAATGCTTGTGCCTTAAGGTAATATTGAGGTCGTCCGTACAGGATGCACATATGCCAACATGAAACTGATCAATTGCAGTTCTAAACATCAATGGGAAGAAGATACAAGTAAAACAACACCAAGAACAAATAATGAGGATAATTTTATTAAACAATTTACAGGAAAAAAAATCAATAATAGTTGTTTTTTGGTTTTTATTCATCTATTACATCATCATCATCATCACCATCATCATCGTCGTCATCAACTATCTAGATTGTAATCAAATTCACTATAATAAGTTTCATCTTCATAATCAAGACAAAAATAAGATGGAATGAGTTCGAATTGTTCTAATCTATTAGTGATATCATCTATCAATGATGGAATAGTTTCAATTTGATGTAATGCATTTTCATTTGGTTTATGTTTCATCATATTGTATTGTTTACTATGCATGACACCATTCAACTGAAATTCAATAGAGATCATAAATAATGAGTATAGAGTGTACATGTGAAATTGAGTGAAACTGAAATGAGAATGAAAAAGTACTTATTCAATCAAATGGACAAGTATATTGAGAGAGTGGAGAAGATTTGTAGCTCAGATAGATGATTTTGATGCAGTTTCATTCTTTGAACTGGATGGTTTGGTCATGAAACTTTCATTGTTCTTCTGAACGACATCATCAACACAAACTTCAGGTAGAAGTTTGGTACCATAGTTTATCTTGTTTTCTGTTGCGTTTCTTCACTTATTCCCGCATTTTTTAGTGATAACTCTAGTGGATGGTTCTGAGATCTTGATAAGTTTCTTCTTTGTTCTCTGTGTAGTTTGCATGGTACCTTGATGGTTGTTGTCAATATTTCCAAATGTTCTGACGTGAGTATCCTTTGTAGCTTGCTCTTTTGGTCCTCTATGATATGTTGGTATTAGTGGATCCTGTTGTGTGCATCAGTTATCATTAGGTGTACCTTTTTTTCCACTTTGCTCAGCTATTCTCCATCCCATTGGGCAGTTGATTAGAGGTCTGTATCTCACACTTGTTGGCAGAACACGTTGACGAAGACACTCGTCGAGAAAATACAGTTGTTTTCGACTGAAAGCCTGTCTTTTAGCGAAATTCCCTCATTTTCGAACAACGAGAAGCGTACTACACTCAAATGATTTTGAGATGGTAGAGAAGATTTGTGGCGCAGCTAGATGATTTTCATGGAGTTTTATTTTCTGAGCTGGATGATTTGATCGTGGAGCTTCTATTGTTCATGTGAAGTTTGTGCTGATGATGTCGTTCAGAAGAACAATGAAAGCTCCACGACTAAACCATTCAGTACAAGTATATTTCTCAAATTACTTCTGTCAGACCAAATATTTATATACTTATATAGCAGTTAGAAATCTCGATAATCCAATAAGAAGACGAAGTTTATCAGAATTATGTGTGATATATCTGCACAATACATTTCGAACAATCTGATCACACATAATATACTGGGTAAGAGAATTTATACATGAAAAATAAAAGGTCAACTAGACAGATTAAAGGTGAACCGTAACAAAGTAAAATAAAATAATAAAGTACATCACTCTGGATAATAAATCAGTATTACCAGGGTAGGTTAATGGTAAGCACAAATTGTTCTTGAACAACATAAAGGGGGTTTCAATTTCCGTATAACCAAGGCTTGAATAAACCTTAATATTGGTCCTTGAAGGCTTTTGTATAACACTACAAATGCTGATTTGATGTCAACTTTATGATCAGCGTCAATCAAATGTTTCACAATGAAGGATGATGTCTGTCTATCCTGTAATCTAGTTTGACCATTGGAATTTATTTGTATCTTTACCCTGTCTAGTTGACCTTTTATTTTTCATAGAAAAATGTCTTAACTAGTATAACATGTATGATCCGATTGTTCGAAATGTATTGAGCTAATATATCATCACATAGTTCTGATAAACTTGGTCTTCTCATTACATTATCGAAATTTATCAAAGGGACTAATTGTTTAAATTAACAAATCTGTTCTTCATGAAATTTTATAAACATCTAGTAAATTGAACAAGAAACTGCGCCTGGAGTCCCTCCGTGGGCTACTGCTGGTCCCGAGCCCGGATAAAGGAGGAGGGTTGGGGCATGGGGTTACCGACCCTATCCCTTAGAAAACCAACTCGCTACAGAAAACGCTAACCAGAAAAAATTATTCAAAAAAATTAAATTGAACAAGCTGCATGTTTAGAATTAATTATCTCGACGAAATAACATAGTCTGACCCCTAACTGCATGTAATGAGCTTTTGTGTTTAGATGGTGCACTTATGAATACAACACAAGATATCCGATTATAACAATAAATAAACCTAAATTGGTCAATTTGTGAATTTTAGATCTCATGTCTACCAACACTGTTTATCATGATCCACTCTGACATTCTAATTTAGGTTTGCTACGAATATTGGTTTACTTATATAAACGCATAAACATTGGTGCAAGAAGGAACCAACACCAGCAGGATTGCCACTGGCTTGTATTTTGAGCCACGTCTGATAACCTCCCAAACTACTGCGTTGCACTATCATTAGGACGTCAATCAGGGAATCATGAAGAGCCAGCAAATTCCAGTTCTGTTCATACTGCGTCACGATCTCATGCACTAAACACCTCTCTACTTTCTTCAATTAGTCCCGCGTCTCAAAATAATGCACGATTTCAAAATGACTGGGACGACATTCAAAGGATATGCCCAAGTCACCATATTTGGTGTTCCAATCGAATTTTTGTCGCTGCACCCCAACACCTGTTGCCGGACTTTTGCATTACAGTCATGGTACTGCCACTGAATGTCAGAAGTCCGTCGGAAACAACAATGATTAAACACAGAGTCGTTTAACATCTTCAGCTCAGAGAGGAGAGGTTTCACATACATGGAGCAAACACTACATCTCTCCGACGCATCATAAATCTTAACTTTCACATTTAGACTAACATCACGAAGGCATCAAAGATGGCCCAGATTGGCATAAGCCGTAAGACATTGTTTCTCACACCGATTTCTTCTCATTTCGATGGAGTTTTCTTATCTAACAGCACATAATCGGCTGTTAATGTGGACCTATTCGATTAGTGCTGCCCCAACTTTGGCTCGTAGTGCGACACCAACGCCAGCAGAATTAGACGACCCCCAAATGCGCTGATACTTCATTAAGTTATAATCCATGTGTGGTGAGTATGGAATTCGCTGCATACATGTGCAGCGATAGAATGGTGAGTTAAATCGGAAAAAAATATACGTTGTGGTAATGTAGAGACGAATAGGATATGTAGATGAAGTTTATAGAAAGATTTTCATAATATGGAAGCTTCAGAAGAACTATCCTCTTTCCAGAACATTGTCTCCAGTTAATTAAGTCAATGTAAGATAAAAAACATAATCAGAAATATGATAATATGGCACTGTAAACAAAATCTTACCATTGAATTATTATTAGCATTAATCTCAAATTGTTGGTTACACTCTCGTTGAGCATCATGTTTATTGATTTCTTTGGTTGATATCATTGTAAACACCTGGAAAAGAAAAAAAGAAAAACAAAATGATACATATCACAACAATAAATTGATTTGAATAGAGAGAAGAACTGTAAAACAGAACGGATCTGTTATCGATTACCGCTGCTAAGTGTTTTAGAATGATATGTATTGCTTCTATTCAGAATTGGATTGAATGAGTCTCTCTGATAGACGCTTTGATATTGTAGTCCTCTATATATCAACAATGTGTTAATAAAAATCTTCTACAAATTACATCAGACCCATTGGACAAACTGATGGATGTATGAATTCAGTAATTTAAAGAATAACACGTCAATATTTGAAATGATTGAGAATGATGCATATAATTCCACCGAAGCAACGTATCCCGAACTCCCAATTCTGGGGGAAGCCGCTATAGTAAACTTTGGAGAAATGGCACCAAAACCCTTAAATGTTCTCAGACCTGAGGAAATCCCCCAATATCTCCCCAAACGAGAGAGATTGAGATTGTTTATACACTGTGAATATCTACTTTTTTTTTCCTAAAAGTATAGTTCCCTTTTTAAAAAGGATGAGCGACGCCTTCAGAATGTTTACCTACTTACTGGGGGTAAATGAGATTTATGAACATGGGTGAAGAATAAGGATCATGATTTCTAGTTGATGGTTAGGGTTAAAAATTAGATGTATGTGGGATGGGGTCATCACGAACTAACATTAGCTAACCTAACCCTAACGTTCATTGACCAAATAGATGAATGAATTTCACTCTAAAATTCAAGACCAATTATCCTAAATGTGATCGGTTTGTTCATAAATCATAGTTTAGCTTCAAAAAGATTACTCAGTAACTGCACACTGATTCACTCAACACTATTTGTGATTATCGCCATATTTCTAAAGTTAATAAACTGAATGTAATGAGTTCCAACGGGAAATCTCTTAGTATTTTAATTAATGTGACAGGGTTTCATTTGAGAGAGGAACTAATATCTCTACAAGACATCACATAAGAAGTAAGACATATCACTAGTAAAATAGAAACTTAATGTATATCTAATGTGCCCCGTTGATGAACATAAATCTGACATTTAACTATGTATATTACCTAGGCTAACCCTGTTCATGTGATGGCGGTGGGTTACATTAGAGGAGTTTATTTCAAGTACTTGTTAGTCCAGACAGACATTCAGAATAAGAAGTGGGAAAGTGAAGTGGAGAGGAGTAGGTGAGTGACACAACTCGATTTGATTAAATATTTTACAATACTCATAGTCAGACAAAAATAAACTACAGACACATAATCGATAGAGTAAGCAATTAACACACATACGCTCATATAAAATAATCAAGGAATTAAATGTCTAGTGTGCTGAACAACGAAATATTCCTCAGACTTACAGAATTACAAATCACCAGGGCAACTCAACCAAATTAAATCCCTTTCCTAGTGCTAATTAATAACACCAACTGTGTTCAATCGAATTCACTAGATAACCACCAATCAGCATGTTGCACTGCCAAAAGCTCACTTTCAAACAGTTAGTCAGCTGACAATATGCACCATTCTGATTGGCTTCATGGAGAGAAGGTCATTCGAGTGATTTGTGCTGAAATACATTAATTATAGAAGGTGGTAATTGGATAGTTACTCGAAGGTGGTGGATAAGCAGTCTAAACTGTAGCATATGAATGAGCCAAATAATTTCAAAAAAATCACCGGATAGTTTCAAAGCCATTTATTGACTGATCAACACAATTCCTGAAATCTGATGAAGTTTATTGGTTTTGAGAAAGTTTATTAATTTACTAAGACTGATTATCGGTTTACTTATCTCTACACAAAACTTCATTTATTATCTGAGTGTTAATAATATTCACAATGAAGAGTTCGTTTCTAGATCATTGTCATATCCATAAAGTATTTTAACTGTAAAATCATCACCGGCTACAATATCTTAACCAGTAAGTTTACTGAAGTGTTAAAGATATGAAGCTGTAAGGCAAAATCATTATCCCCGTATCCATATGAAAAGTCATGAGTGTAAATCTTTAAATGTATATTTAACATTTACGAACTCAGCTATTTCGGTGGAGTTTTGTTCTCTGAGCTGCATGGTTTGGTCGTGACCAAACCATCCAACCAACATCATCCACCTGAGCTACAAATTATCTCCACCATCTCGAGCTGACTTATTATTCACTGAACCACTAAAGATGAAGTTCATCGAAGGAATCTCTTATCAATGAATTGAATATCAACCTGTACAATGAAAGTATTAATTCCGTAAGGAAATGTGATACAAGGAATAATCAAGATGATGTAATAGAATGATTATAATACTATTAGATTATGTAATACAAATTATAACACTAACTAATAGACTTAATGAGTTAGTAACGAATTATCACATGTGAATGTATGAAGATGATTAAAATGGTTTTGTCCCATTAACTAGTGGATATGAAAGGTCATAATGATGATATCATGAGCAATTATAAATAATGAAAATATAAGACATAACTACGTCTTATCGTTATTATTACTTTGACCTTTATTATAATTATCATTATTGGATTTCTCGTTTAACTTAATGTCTCATATTCTCATTATTTACATCACTATGAGCTTTAAATAGTGCAACACAGACATTTTAGATTGAGATCATGAACTGGTTGATATTAGACCACCATTGAAAACCTGGAAGCAATGGACGGTCGTTTCATCCTATTAAGGGAGTCCTCAGCAGTGCGCAGCCACGGTCACGCCTCCCGAGATTTGAACCCAAAACCTATCAGTCCCTCGCGCGAACTCTTAACCTCTAAACCACTGAGCCGGTATCCAATGGTGTTAATGTCTAACTTCAACCAATCCACAAAATTGAGCCACCGTCCATTTCACTCATCGTCCTACATTCACGTTATAATTCGTTACTAACTTATTAAGTCTACTGATATTAATCGTATTACGTAACATAGTATAATAATCTTTCTCTCACATCATCTTCGTTATCCCTTGTTCACATGTCTTGATGGAACTATTACTTTCATATATATACGATTGTACAGGTTGGTCATAAATTCGTTGATAAAAGATCTCTTCGTTGAAATTCGTGTTTTTAAAAGTATAATATACTGATGATCTTAGGGGGATTATCAGTCAATCGGGAAACGCTGTGTAATCACAAACTAATAAGCAATAAAAAGACAGTGGAAATAAAGAGTTTAGTTGAATAATTAGCTCCAACATGCCAAATTATGCTTTGTAGTAAAGGAGAAATATCAAGTTTGCACATTAGAAGTCAGGATAGTACACTGAATTAGAGTTTACGTCCCCAAATTACATCGGTAATAATGTAAAATCGCTAGGACTAGACAGTTTGAGCAAAGCGGCAGATTTGAGTTGGAATTTTCATCACAAAACGACATTAGTTATAATCCAACGCTTCACCACATTACTGTGTGCAAACTTAAGAAACTGAGGGTTGATTTTCAAAAGAAGAGTTATAAAGAGGGAATATCATATAGATTCACTAAACTCTGTTGACCACGTATTGAGTCACATCAAACAATTTTACACACTAGCTGCTTGTAGCTCTTCTAGGGTTACTAACAGTCTCAGGCACAGGTAAAGGAAATGGGTGGAGCATGGGGTCAGCAAACACATCCCGTTGAAAACAACATTGCTAAAAACGCTAACCAGAATAAACAAGTTAAACCATTTAAACTCTGTCCTGGGAGTTAAACGATCTTCATTCAGACAACTATGACGTCTCATGGTGAAATTCAAGATTTTTCGAAAGTCACCAAATCAATGTTGCTTCTAGCAACCAGAGCAACAACTGTTATAGGTTTATTGGAATGTCCGGACAATGTGGGAGAACGGGGAAACGAACCGAATAGCTACAAAATTGAACAGACACAACTTGATAACACTCCGAATTAGCAAAACACGTTGAACTCAAGCTGTATAGAAATGGACAGATTGAGAAGACATGACGCTGTACTCTGGTTACGAAGAACAGAAAGCTGCTATGGTGCTGTCTAAAGTAACACGAAGATGCACTTATCGATATATCATCATCAAGCATCCTTCAAAACAATGAAGAAGGATATCATAATGAATGTTATCCAATGTGTTGCAACCAACAATCATAGCAATGAAGACAATAAAGATCTGTTTTATGAGAGGTTGCAATCGATCACAGTAAAGAGCCCAGCAAATGATCTCACCATCTCAATAGGAGACATAAACACTAAATTCGGAATGGACAACGCCGGATATGAAGATATCATGGGACGACATGGATTAGGAGAGGGAAACGAAAATTGGGAGAGATTTGAGAACATGTGTGCATTCAACAAATTGGTTATAGGCGGCACAATATTCACCCATAAATGCACACACACAGACATTCCCATAGATGTCACTCCACCAGCGACCGGACAAACTAAGATGGTCATCAGGCACATGAACAGTGGGAAAGCAGTAAGATCTGACAATAGACTAACTGAAGCATTGAAGTCACTCATTGAAGCAAATGCCAACATGTTCCATACTATGTTCAGGAAGAGTTCGGATGGAGTACAAGTGCACAGACAGAATAGAAAGAAGAACATCTCATCGAGATACCGAAAAAAAACATAATCTGTGCGAATGTGTGAACTATAGAGGAATCAACAGTGTTACTGAATGGGATGAAAGACTCAGCAGACAAACAACTTCGAGATCAACTGTTTGAACTCCTTAAGGATCAGTTGTGCACAGACAAAAAGCGATACTACGAATCATCGTTGAGTAATAAATTGGATGGAATTGGTCACTACACATCAACTTCCTCGAACGTGAGAAAGCATTTGACAGTATGGAAAGAAGAAACTCATGGAACAAGCCTGCTAACTATCTAAAAAACCCTCAACCAACAATCAAGTCACAATTTTCAACACAAACATCAAAACAGTTCTATTGTATGGATCTGAAATCGCACAACTACCACATCCATCATCGGAAAGATACAGGTATTTATAGACATCTGTCTACACAACATATTCCAGATCCGTTCACCGGATACCATCACCAATAACCTACTATGGGAGAGAACAAACTCGATTTCCACCTACCGGAAGAAGAAATCGGGAAAAGACACTGGAGGTGAATAGGACATATATTGAGGAAATCATCAAACTGAATCACGAGTCAAGCACTAACTTGAAATGCTGAAGGGAAATGGAAAAGAGAAAGACTAAAGAACACACTACGCTGAGGAGTGGAAAGACATCAGAAGGATGAATAGCGACTGGACACAATTGAAGAGGATTCTCCAAAACAGAGTTTTATGGAGAATGCTAATGGGCGACCCATTCTCCTCCACGAGGGCTAGCAGGCCTAATTCAGTAAGTCATTTAAGTTAAGTGCATTCTTAATTCACTTATGTACTACGCAAAAAAATAAGCACTTAACAATTTTAACACCGATTTTTCAATACAACCGAAATGCTCGCTTAGATATCATGAAGCAAAAGAATAGAACTATGAAATAACGTTCTTTTCATTGCCTTAGTCACTTGGATAGTTTAACTTAGAAATCCAATAATGGTATTTCAATCTCATATACATCATTGAATTACAAATGAATCAACAATTCTAATAACAAGTCTTCTCATTATATTGATTTTCAAATGAGATGTATTGAAATCGTTACCCATATAACATCACTCCTATTTGGTCAACTCAACTTTTATTCAGTGAATCACCGACAATGTGATTTCTTCACAAATTTGTTACCAACAAAGTCATTTGGTTAAAGTAACCTATTGCTTATTGTGTTATAGAAAACTTACATTTAAAACTATATGAACATTCGATATTGCAGTCTACAAACAAACCGAAATTCAAACAAAGTACATTAAGAAATGAATAAATAAATATTTGCTTTCATCATAACTCTTAATAGTAATTTCAATGGTTAAGATCATGAGTCAATTGAAGCTAGACCATCATGGAAAACCTGGAAGCACCGGATAGCCGTTTCGTCCTATTGTGGAACTCCTCAGCTGTACGCATCCACTACCCTGCCTTGAGAAATCCTTACGCCAGAACATGTTCGTCTCGCACGCGAGCGCTTAACCACTAGACTATATCTACACATGTTTATGTATAGCCATGATGGGAAAGCAATTGAAAAGAAATGATTCTTCACTCCATTCGTCATCTCACGATAAGTTTTATTATAGAAAAGATTAATCTTCTAATAATTTTAAACATTCACAACATCATCATACAACGATATTCCTGATGAGGAAAGTCATTCATTATAGAATTTAGTGTAAAAACTCAAAATTACTCTCCTCAATTTTGACAGACTCATTACTCACTTTTAAAGAATTTGTAAATGATCCATCGATCATATAGACACATTCTTCATCGGAATCATTATGATCGATGTCAGACAGTGATTGTCGTCAAAAATTGGTAGCCATTCTCATTCAACAGACGAGTTTTATCGAACTGTCGGCTCATCGATTGGATTGTACGACACACATGGAAAATAACCAATGAACTTTTTCCATTTCTTAAAGTAAAAGCACCGACAAGGGATATGGTAATCTGTAGTGAAGAATTAGTAATCTTCGCGTTTTTATTATTCAGGACTGGAAATGATCAATCTGTAGTTGAACATGTTCATCTCGGATGAATTACTTGGATATTACCATTTAGTCATAAGTCGTAGTCAAGTTGCTTTATATTTCGTCTTATTCGAGATGAATCGATTAGGTTTATAAAAATGCCAATGTTAATGTTTACACCCAAGTTCGAAACCAGTATCTTTAACTTTAAATACTAACGTGTTGCCTACTGAATTAATAAGTCCAGATAGTTAATAACATGTTCAACAAGTGTGACGATATTATAAGGAACTTGTTATTCTCAACGGTAAATTATCAATCTAACATTATATAAAAAGTTTTAATGAAGTTATAACATTGAGGCATTCTACTCACGATTCTCATATATGTCAATGGGGACTGAACAATTATTGTAAAGAAACGATGAATTAGTGATTGTTTTATGATCTCTACTTTTACTATAAACTGATTATTGTTATTTAATGATCGATAATTGGAAGTCATACTATACAACCCAATTGGATAACTTGTCGTGATAAATTTCGTTTTAAGAATGTATTCCTCAAACAACGACATTAACTATTTAAAAGAATGAAGAAGTTCTGGAGATAACTATGGTTCTAGTTTAAAACTTTCCTGAAGTGAGCATGTGCAAACTTATGAAGGATTGAACTTAATAACCTAAGCTATCATGATCTATTCAATATTTTTCGGTCGGAATTTAGTGGTAACTATTTTCCACTTCAATCAGTTGACGTTACAGTGTGATAATTACGTAAAACTAATGAATCAGTTATTGCTTGACTCTCAACATCGTCAAATTCCACCAGTCACAACTTAAAATTGAGAATCGATAGAAGAACTCGTTAATAATGAATACAAAAACTGCCATCGAATTAAACCCATCTTCATACACTATCAGCATAAACAATAAACTCAATCGTCTGGAGGTCAAGAGTACTCCGGAAGGCCAAAAGCTTTTGAGTTCGACCCCAGATGGGATCGTAAGTGGATACTAACAAGGATTCCATAATATGAGGAAATAGCAGTATGCTGCTGCTTGATTTCCAATGTTCGTTCAGTTTTATTTATTTAAACACATAGACATTGATACACGGAGGCACCAAATATAAATATACGCCATATAAATTATTAGATTTGTGTGGCGGCTGTGATACTGGAGTGAAGGAACGCACAGATGGGGACAACCGAATTACAGAGTTACTTGATAAAATAGAAAAACCATACTATAATACTTAATTTGCAAAATGTTCAATAACTGTCTCGAACTTCGTTGTTCTTGCATTTCCATACTAATTGATTTCTATTCCCGCTCTCCCTTTCTTGATCTTCCCCATTTTCTGCTGCCAGACATTACATTCCTCACTCACGTCATATACTACTTATATCAATATAAGTAGCACGCAACACAATACTACCATGGCACCTAAACCGAGACAGGTGGTTTTCCTAAGGGGCAACTCCACGAGCCTTTGACCTGAAGGTTTAATCCAAAAGGTACTGGGGCAACGTCAGGAGATGCAGTTCCATGGTAGTCGGTGACCAGAAATAGATTCACGCACCTTTTGTTCTTTCAGGATACTGTAACCCATGCGCATCATTGGTTTGAAATTAGGGTGTTCCGACTCCCCTAGATGGACTCTCTGTGGGAGAGCTGACTCACTCCACTCTCGGTCGTACCAGGGCATTTTGGGCTAAATTCAAACTGTGCTCAAAAATCATAAAATAGATAATAAATGAATAAACACTAGTCACTAACTTAGTGTCTTGGAATTGTAGTGAAAATCCTTCATCGATAGCATCGAATAGTAATTGTGTTCTATTGTAGGTCGCCTGAATTTCAGTATGTATGTTAAATGCTTACTCACTGGTTTATAGATATTACACATGAGGAAACTTTAGTCGCCTCAATAAAATTAATTGTCCCATCATAACAGTTAGAAACGTGATTATTTGAAGAACTAATGAATATCATATATTAGTGACTTGACCTGATCTGATGGAGACGTAAATGCATGAATCTGAACAGCAAACACAGCATTCCTACAAATAAACATCTACAAATCAAAACAACTCTCAGCCAATAATCAAGTATTGTATGGAGTTGAAATCGCACAACTACCACATCCATCATCAGAAAGATACAGGTATTTATGGACATCTGTCTACACAACATATTCCAGATCCGTTCACCGGATACCATCACCAATAACCTATTATGGGAGAGAACAAACTCGATTCCCATTTGAAGAGGAAATTAGGAAAAAAACACTGATAGTGAATAGGACACACGTTGCATCACGAGTCAAGCACTAACTTGGAATTCTGAAGGGGAACGGTAAAGAGAAAGAATAAAGAAGTCACTACGTTGAGAATTGGAAACAGACATCAGAAGGATGAATAGTAACTGCACACAATTGAGGAGGATTCTCCAGAACAGTTTTATGGAGAATGCTGATGGGCGACCGATTCTTCACGGGTAATAAGCGTAAGTTATAATGGCAACTTGTACATGTATTTCATGTTTGACTGCATCATGGTTGCTTACGTTTATTTCTTTCATCTATATATCGAACTCGTATGAATTTAGGACTATTTTTTTACTAGCGGGCTACACAACTCGATTTATGTTACTCGCCAAATCAATTTTGTAAAACATTTCATCTATTCATACAATTTATTCAGTCAGCTACAACGTAGGACCAGGGACATATGTGCATCGGTCCAGGTTGCCATACCTCATTAGCACAGCAAGATGAACACCGGATTCATAGGAGTGGTTAGGTCAAAGGTGGTAATATATAGGAGAAAGATTGCATTTAAGGATATAGTATAGGAAGAAAGAATCAGTTCCTAGAAAGAATGATATGAAGTGATTTTAATCTTTTAGTTTAAGGGAAGACGATTTATTACGTTTCTAGAAGATTTGGAGGTCACGAAATGAAATGAATCCACTTCATCTCACGATATTCCATGTTGTTGTTACTCCACAAACATTTATAGAAGGAATTGATTGTATAGAACAATTCGCAGTCATCCGGTATATTTAATTTTGAAACGTAAGAGGTGATAAATGAATCAAGTTAGAAATCCTTTAGTAATCTGAAAATTTATCATCACTCTGAGATTCGATAGATGAAGTAGACCACCCCAATATCTTTGGATCATCTAAAGGTCCCGAGACTTTTGAGAAAACATTCAGCTGTGTTGAATCACCACTTTATATTACTCGTCAATACTGAATACAATGAGCTAAACATTTCACTAAGAAAGCTTAGACAGCAATCAAATACTAAAAACATGGATCTCGGCTGTAAAACTATAATTGAATTTACCAAGAATGAAAAGATAAGCTGATGATACTTTTGGAAATTTAACTATATAAGTCATTAATGGAAATTTTCGATTTATAAATTTGCCGAACCTACTTAACAGCCTGAATTATCACGTACATGAAATCCTTGTTGAAGAGCATCTGACTTACCAGATAACATTAAATCCTTATTTCTACGGACAGATTAAGGCAGATAGAGCCTAGCACATCAAGGTCCTGTCGATGACTAAGTTTTCATCACGTAGCCGTTAAGTCATTACAAATCGTCAAGATAAAAACGATAGACTTCGACTGGTTTGAACTACACGGGCAACATGCATTTTGATCCAATCAGAATAAATTTAAGAGTGATAAATATGAAAAATATAAATGTAATTCTAAACATCATTTAAAGTTTAACAACAGTTGATGCTGAATGTGTACTATAAGGAAGAACCAATCAGAGATTAAAAAAGCCAGTTAGACTACTACGTGAAATCATATCAAACGATTGCTAAAATACCTTTATACATTGATCATTATGTTGAAAACGATAGACCTAAATTATGCTTTTCCATGACAGAATAGAAGTAATAAGCTTGAACGTATTAAGTGCTTAATTCTCGCTATTTAGATTACCTATGACCAAATTGAACATTACTTTGACATCATAACACAAACACTTGATTCCTAACCCTAAAAAAAGGTGAAATCCTCAGCCCTAAACAAGAGCAATCCAGTGAACATCTATAAGCCTTTTTATAAGGGTTCGAGAAGATGGATGTTGAATATTTCTACGAACTAATCAATACGAGGTCGTTTTCGCAATTGACAGATAGGGAAATCTTCAATAGATTGATAAATTTTGTAAAACTTCTTTATACTTTGTCATATGATTACTGACTTCTTCACAAACTATACATAAACAAAATCTGTATTCTTATTTGTATAAAACACATAAGACTTTGATAAAAATGAAATGCTTTTTTTAAATGATGCACAAACCATTCAAAGTCCGAGTGTTTATGATGAATAACAACGGGAGGAGGTATAAAGTACCGTAAAATCATCTGCTGAGCATTTGAATTGACACCATATTCATTCCAACATTCTCTCAAAAGTTCTTCATTTTGTGGGATATTTTCTGCAATCTTGCATCTACTTCTAAGTACATCCAATAAATGACTTCCACTTGGCATATACAACTCTGTATAAATCGTCTCCAGTATCTTCTTCCAATTCTTACTGTAATCAACATAGTGTTGTTCTCGAGTTCTACCATTCATCTTCAACTGCGGATAATCAAACAGTTCACTATTCGGCTCAAAAACACTCAAATAGGTGACCAATCGACCAAATATACTACTCATCTTGTCACTGAATGACGGTCGAGATGAATTCGTCAAATATTCACAGTCAGTGTGATAATAAAATGGATCACCGGATATTTGACGGTACAGCTTCCGCAACTCAATCAATTCATTCAAATCTTCGAAAAACACTATACACACAGATCGCACCATTCGACTGGCAATCTGATGTGCGATTCGTGTACGGATAAATCTAGCTGTCAAGTCCTCGAAACACTGACTGATATCGAGTTTCAGAGGACGCACCAAACCAACATTATTTATAGGTCTGATTGGGTGTTCCAAATCACGATGCTTCGTCGCCATGTGAAACACATACAGCTTCGAGACCCAACTACCAGTAATACGCATCGCTTCGATTTTATCATGTTCGTTTGTTAACCCATACCTATCCATTAGATCACTTCTCAGTATCGCACTTGCATAACTGTCTCTCAACAAACCACATGGAGCGAATCTGTTCTCCTGGAAATAATTAACAACAGCAGCAATCATCACTCGAATACATGCATCTGACATCTCAGCATCGATCACATCCATCATTTCATAACTGCTGGCAAAATTGTCAACGGTCCAACGGCCATAGTACCAGGCACCATCTTGACGATTCTCCACTACTCTATCAGGTGTGGAGATATTTTCGACAGATGTCTCTCCATCAGAACTAGTTCGTTCACCTGAATCGCATGACTCAGGCACTTCTGCAAGTAGTCCAGCGAGAATCGCAGCAGTGGCAGCATTCGCCAGCCATTTTCGAAGAGGTTTGGAAACCAATTCACCAACATTTTTGTAGATGTATGCAGAGGCCGTTGCGGCAAACTTCACTCAGTCATTCTTAACAGGTATGGTATCGTTTGTGTTAGACTCAGGCATCATACTCTTGTCAAGCATCAGCATGAATCGGGTGTCTAGATCGTATGTTGCAGTGACAAGTGACATAAAGTTGAAGTCCGCATCTACTTGTCGTAAATGGTCAATTAGAATGCATCCCAACTCATCAGCCAAATTCGATAGTGAGTCTTTTACATCTTCAGTCGCTGCAGCCAAATTCTAAAAAGAAACTTTAAAAAATCCTCATTAGGAATAAAGAGCGAATTGATAGCATTACATTATGAGGTACACGATTTTTTTAAAATTTTATATTTCACAATCATTTATCGGTAACTATTCAACAGATTTACGATCCTGAACCAAGTACTAGCAAAATCGAAATTTCAGCAACTCAGTAGGGATTTTTTTGAATATATAATTGCATATCTATCACAATATCCTTTTTCCAACATTTAAAGAAACAAATTCATTACGAACCTAAAATATTTGAGTCCTCTATGATCTAGGATAACTCCTCCTGTAGCTCCATGGGGCTACTGCCGTTCGTCTCCCCGGATAAAGGAAGAGGGCTGGGCAATGGGCTAGCGACCCCGTCCCGTATAAAACACTAACCAAAAAAATAATTCAAACCATCTAAACTCTGCCCTGAGAGTCAGGTCTTCATTTAGAAGAGTTATGACGCCTCATGGTGAAAATCGAGTTCCTTCGGAAGTCACGAGGCCGATACTCCTTCTGACAACCAGAGCAATCATTAATTTAGGTAAATGGAATGCTCGTACAACGTGGGCGACCAGGAGTCTTCCGAATTGCTGCAGAAATGAAGAGATACAACATGAATGTGCTTGGAATCAGTGAAACACATTGGACGCAGGTTGGACAACAGCGACAAGCTTCAGAGGAACATCTGTTATACTCCGGCCATGAAGAAGAAAATGCTCCACATACACAAAGAGCTACATTTATGCTATCCAAACAAGCACAAAATGCACTTATAGGATAGGAATCTCATGGACCCAAGATCATAAAATCCTCCTTCAAAACAAAGAAAGAGGGTATTACAATGAACGTCATCCAATGCTATGCGCCTACCGACGAATACATTGAAAACGTTAAAGATCAATTCTACGATAGGCTGCAGTCAATCATCGAGAAGTGCTCAACAAATGACTCGACCATTCTGATGGGAGACCTAAATACCAAAGTTGGAATGGAAAACACCGGATAAGAAGATATCATGGGATGACCAACAGTCAGTCAGTCAGCTACAACGTAGGACCAGGCACATATATGCATCGGTCCAAGTTGCCATACCTCATTAACACAACAAGATGGACACCGGATTCATAAAAGTAGTTAATTCAGAGGTGGTAATATATAAAAAGAAGATTGTACATAAGAATATAGTACAGGAAAAAAGAATTAGTTCATAGAAAGAAAGATATGAAGTGATTTTAATCTCTTAGTTTAAGGTAAGACAGAGAGTGTATACACCTACATCATTGTGATCGATTCTGAGCCATGTCACCAAGAATCTCCAACCATTGGTTACGAAAGTCACACGGACCCCAACCAAGTAGTCTGCATCTACCAACATGGCTCAGACTAGAGGTTAGTGTCTTCAAGCACTGATACCACGTTTTGGTTTCGCCGCCCCTAACTTTCTTCCAACCATCTCCAACACCGGTTAGCATTGCATGTCGTGGTAATCGGTGTTCAGGCATACGTAACACGTGGCCCAACCATCTCAGTTGATGAAGATTCACAACCTCATCAACTGATTTACCATCATTCCCTAATACCCTACGTCTAACCTCACTATTTCCTACCCCTCGGTGATCCCAGCAGACGCCAGCAATATTTCTAAGGCATCTGTGGTCAAATACTAGTAGCTTACGATTGTCTTCTACTCTTAATGGCCATGTTTCGCTACCGTAAATTAAAACAGAACGGACTGTCGCGCAGTATACTCGTCCTTTTATTGATAGACGGATATCTCGCCTTCGCCATAGGTGACGCAAGTTGGCATAAGCCAAGCGAGCTTTTCGAATCCGTGCTGAGATTTCGTCAGACACCAACCCATTAGGGTTGATCAGACTTCCAAGGTAAGTGAAGTTGTCGACGCGTTCGACTACTTCACTCCCTATCCTTAGTACAGATGTTGACGCAGATCAGTCCTGAAGCAACAACTTGCATTTAGAGGGAGAGAAGCTCATTCCAAACATTCTGGTATAGTTGATTAGTGCCACCAGAAGACTCTTCATTTTATCAGTGTCTTTACCAAACAGGACTATGTCGTCTGCGTATTCCAAGTCGATAAGTGGACCTCCTGGAAGGAGGTCAATACCTGAGAATTCAGTAGACGAGAACGTTATTTCCATCGGTAGGTCTATGATGAAGTTAAACAAAAATGAAGAAAGTGGACAGCCTTCTGGAGCCAATCCATCTGGACCAGCTGCCCTTCCTCGTTTCAGATTAACTATAGCCTTTTGAACTTCTGCTTCCTGCTTCGGTTTGGGCACCCGGGCAGTATCACAGCCCTCACACATATCGAATGAGATTTGTGTGGCGCATATGTATTTGGTACCTTCTTGTACCAATATCCATGTGTTCAAATAAATGATAATATGAACTTCTGCTAGAGTTGGGGGACCTACTTCAATGTTCCATTCACACTGTCTGGGAATGGAGGGTAGTTGTAGAGTAGCTGAAGGCCAGCTGAAATGTTCTATGAAATGTTCCGCCCATCGATCTAAACGTCTGGACTGAGAGCAGATGAGGATGTCGTCTTTTTCGGAAATAGTCTGACTTATTCTTGATTTATTAATTCCAGTTTCTTTTATTAGTCTGTGTTCCCTATAGCCGCCGCTTTTTCCATCTCTTTTGCTTTCATTGCCCACCACTGCTCACGGTCGTTTCTTAGACTTTTTCTTAACCTAGATCTGATTTGTTTTCGCTCTTCATCGTGTTCAGAACCCGATGGGATGAGTTTACGAGAATCCATCAGTGCAATAGACCTTGAGAAAATCCATTGGTTCTTTGTAACCCTGTGGTTTAAATCACTAGTAGATGTCACTGCTGTTTCCACAGCTGTTTGTATAGCTTTTCAAGCAACATCTGGGTCAACCTCGTTTTCAGAACTACCTAATTGTGACCTCAGTTGTTCCTGGAACCTACTTTTGGTTTTCTCACTGCTCAATTCAGTTCTAATGGGTCTTTTTAATGTGGCTTTTTTGCGTCCAGTGAGGTAGCAACAACGGTCGGGGGACGACCAACAGCCTGAATTCCGTAAGGATCGATCGTGTACAGACCAAATCGCAACTCTACGGATCATTGTGGAACAGTTAATTGAATGGAATTCATCACTCTACTTCAACTCCATTGACTATGAGAAAGTATTTGATAGCATGGACAGAACAACACTAAGGAGGCTTCTTCGAAACTACGGCGTGCCTCAGAAGATAGTCAATATCATACGGAACTCCTACGATGGATTAAACTGCAAAATCGTGCATGCAGAACAGCGCGCAGATTTATTCGAAGTAAACACCGGTGTCAGGTAAGGTTGCTTACTCTCACTCATACTCTTTCTCCTGGTGATCGAATGGATCATGAAGATGTTAACACCTGTGGGGAAGCATGGGATACAGTGGATGCAGTTGGACGATCCAGATGACCTGGCTCTTCTATCGCAAACACAACAACAAATGCAGGAGAAGACCAGTGTAGCAGCAGTAGGTCTCAACAAACACAAGGGGAAAAGCAAGATTCTCCGATACAACACAACATGCAACAATCGAATCACACTTGACGAAAAAGCTTTGGAAGATCTAAAAACCTTTATATATCTGAGCAGCATCATTGATGAACATGGTGGATCTGATGCAGTTGTGAAGGCACGGATCGGCAAAGCACGAGCAGCATATCTACAACTGAAGAACATTTCGAACTCAAAACAACTGTCTGTCAACCAACACCAAGGTCAGAATTTTCAATACAGA